CCTTCCTTCCTTCCTTCCTTCCTTCCTTCCTTCCTTCCTTCCTTCCTCTCTTTTTTTCAGGCAGACCTAAAAGTGTAGTTTCCTTGCATTTACTGAAGTCCAAAAGGAGCAAAGGTGCATTTAGTACATTGACTCAGTCAACAAACTTTCTGTACTGGACGGAGAATCTTTTTCTATAGATATGGTTATTTGGAGACTAGCTAAGATAATTTGAACTGTTCGTGCTTTAAGTGAACAAGTAATTTAGCATTAACAAAATAATCTGTAGATACAGACCCTTGCCCACCTCAGGAAAAGTCCCAGTTGAAGGAAACAAGTGTGGGCTCTAGAGGATGGAAAGTTGTGAGTTCTAGGAGAAAGGGGCAGTCTTATAGGAAGCACACACTTGGCCAGTCTGCTTGCTCTTTTGAGTTAGTGTTGTAGTAATCCAATTTATGTTACCTTATGTAACCCAAATACCGCAGGGTAGCTTCTGTAACCCAAGACTGAGTCCTTCCACTCTTCTGTGACTTCTCATAGCTATGTCTTTACGTACCGAGGACTTCTCACTGAAGGAGCTCTGAGTTCTTTCCTATTGCTTCTTCTTAGCAACAGTGAAAACTAGAATCTTAAATGATTCCTGACAAGAATCGTGAGGCAGTATTCCTCTATAATTTCCTGAAAGGTAGGTATGTGTGTGGGTGGGCGGGCACACACTTTAAAGCTCAATCTAATTAAGGAAAGATGTAACATTTTTTTCTCTGGGTTTTTAATATGGTGTTTAAGCAGGGCTAAATTTTCAGTTTGGCTATTTTCTCTTCGGAAGAAAAGAAAATATTATGCTGCCTTTCTTGATTTTAACAGAAAAAACATGGACCCATTTGCCAGAAAACAGCCACTAAAAAGCGGAAGACCTTTGATTCCAGCCGGCAGAGAGCTGAAGGGACTGACATTCCCACAGTCAAACCTCTCAAACCCAGGGTAACTCTAGGCTTCTGAGCACTGTAAATCTTGTTACTGTTCTTTGTGAAACAATTGTGAATGTGAGTTTAGATAAACAAAACTCTGTGGTATGTGTTCAGAATAAATATCATCAGGAACATCAATTTTATTTTAATTAAAAACATGAATGAGTAAAAATGTCATTGATAATGAAACTTTATACAGGAAACTCTGTGGTCAGGTGGCCATTCTAGCAGTGTAAAACGTCACTGTGAGCTAGTTTATATTTAAGTGGCTTCTGTAAACTAACTATATGATGCTTTCTTGTGGGATAATTTGAGTATAAAATGAATTTGATAAAAATAAATTTCACAAAGTATATTTTTTTAATTAAATTGGTTCTGGAGAGAGCACTCAGCAGCTACTACTCTTTCAGCGAAATCAGGTTCAGCCCTTGTGTCCAGTAGCCCCCTTTCTTAATAAAGTTATTTGATGCTAGGCTGATCTGATATTTATCTGTGTTTTGCTCTCTGTGAATACTTACAGGAAAGATGGTAAGACTTGTCTAAAAATCATAAACCAGTATTTGAAGTTTTTCGTACTGGGTACCATTTATGTGATTACATTAGTTAAAGTAGGCAAGGTAGCTGAATATCTGAGTTAGTATGGGCTCATCGGTACAGAGAATGGCTTCAAGAATGAGAATCCTAGACTTTGAAGTGGTTATATAACATTCTATGCTGATTAGGCCAGTTAACTATCTATGTTCTGCCTTCACAATACTGATAGAGGTGGTGTCTTATGGGGTTATTGGGGAGGTTACACAAGACTATAATATTCAGACATTACCATTTTTTAAAAAAAGTCTTAATTGTTTTAGTAATAAAAGCAAAGTAAGATTATACTGAGTTGCTGTCTTGGTTCTCCCTAAAGTGTGATTCTTAGTGTATCAATAGCATTATTTGAGAACTTGTTAGAAATGCAGAATCTTGGGTATCACATATACATACACACTGAATTAAAATCTGCTGTTTACAAGATTCTTGGCTGAGTCACATACATATTAAAGTTTGGAAAGCAATTAGAAGACATTATAGTATAGTGTACTTCTTAATGTATTTATTTGTATTAAGGACACCTTGTAAAATTACAAGCACCTAAACGATAGAACAAACTCTAGTTTTGGTAAAATTAAAGACAAGATGCCGTGAACAGACTACCAGATACACATAAGAATGGCCTAAAGCAATTGAAATCCAGGCTCAACCACCCTAAAGAGAATATATAGGAAGTTAATGGGATTCTGTGGCCAAGAATCTGACATCATATAATAATAATACATGAAGGTCTTTTCATCTTAAAGGTAATTTCTCTAAGGTGAGTTCTTTAAGAATGTGTATCTTTTTAAATAACTACAGTCATGTGAGACACAAGATGAAGTATCCAAACTTGCATTGCCAGGATCTGGAATGGGCAGGGTTAAAGTTAAACCGAAGCCAAAAGGACAAGTGAGGAGAGAGGACAAGACACCTGTGCTAGAGGTTCTCAGAACCCTTCCTGAAGGGAAGAGGGCTAACTAGTAGTTTGTTTGTAAAGTGGTTGTTTGAACAGAGAAGATTACAGTAGTCTTTTCCTGTTTCTCATAGAGATGTAGGAGGCAAGTACTTGCAGTCATACAGCGCCTAAAACAGGTGACAGCAGATGCTAGCAAGGATGTGGAGAAAGAGGAACACTCCTCCATTGTTGGTGGGATTGCAAGCTGGTACAACCACTATGGAAATCAGTCTGGGGGTTCCTTAGAAAATTAGACATAGTATTACCTGAGGACCCACCTATACCACTCCTGGGCATATACGCAAAAGATATTCCAATGGATAACAAGGACACATGCTCCACTATGTTTATAGTAGCCATATTTATAATAGTGAGAAGCTGGAAAGAACCCAGATGTCCTTCAACAGAAGAATGGATACAGAAAATGTGGTACATTTACATAATGGAGTACTACTCAGCTATTAAAAACAATGAATTCATGAAATTCTTGGGGAAATGGATGGAAATAGAAAATATCATACTGAGTGAGGTAACCCAATCACAAAAGAACACACATGGTATGCACTAACTGATGAGTGGATATTAGCCCCAAAGCTTGGAATAGCCAAGATAAAATTTACAGACCATATAAACCTCAAGAAGAAAGAAGATCAAAGTGTGGGTGCTTTGGTCCTTCTTAGAAGGGGGAATAAATATATTCTTGAGAGCCAATATGGAGACAAAGTGTAGAGCAGAGACTGAAGGAAAGGCTATCCAGAAACTGTCTCACCTGCATCCATCCAATAGACAGTCACCAAATGCAGACACCGTTATGGATGCAAAGAAGTGTATGCTGACAGGAGCCTGATATAGCTGTCTCTTGAGAGGCTCTGCCAAAGCCTGACAAATACAGAGGGAGATGCTCACAGCCATCCATTGGACTGCACATGGTATCTCCAATGAAGGCATTAGAGAAAGGACTGAAGGAGCTGAAGGGGTTTGCAACCCCATAGGAAGAACAACAGTATCCATTTTCTAGTTAAATTAATAGTTTTCTAATGACAAGCCAATTATGAAATGATCCAGAAAAGTGTACATGTAAGGAAAAGACTGAAAGAGTGGCCAGGAATTAAAATTACCCTGTCAGATACCAGATATGCCATAAAGTTTCAGTATTTAAAATTCTAACACAAGGACCATTGAAGCAATGAAGTGAAAGGGGAAAATCAAGAATAGATTGACACTCATTTGCTTAGCTTCTGATGGTTGTTTTCTCTCTGTATTGGGATGGGTGAAGTAGGGAGTTAACACACAGAAACAATGGCATGACTGTCTTTTTAAAATAAGCTGAACTTATGTCATAATCTATACAAAATGAATGAAATACACAATGAATAAAAATAGAAATAATATTGAAAAATCAAAGACAAAACCTAACAGATTAGTAAATTAACTAATAGTTTTAAAATTACTGAAGATCCATACGAGTTGGAGAAAAAAAGGATACTTTCCTCAGTACCTACAAGAATTATTCCTAAATGACTAAAAGCCAGGGAAGAGGTTGCCATGCTCACACAGAAGGCTTCATGAGATGAATGCATCTTCAATCTCACTCATCACAGAAAATCCAATGAAGTCCTCAACACTGTACTCCACCTCTACAGCCAGTTCCAACCATCCCAATCGGTAAATTTTATCATATATAAAGGATCACAAGAGAGACATCTGAAGTGCAAGCACAGATGTTGTCTGTAGACGTGACTGTGGAGGACACTTTTTACCAGTGTCTGCCATGAGGAGAATTGTATTTAAAAGTCGCATACAATGCAGTCGCAGGTTTTTAATTTGGGAAACATCACTGATAGATTCCTGCTAAGAGAACATTTAAAATATGGCTTTACCTGAACTTTTGTTTCTATATATTAAAAAGTATATTTTGATGTGACTTTTCCTCATTTTTAGCCAGAACCACCAAAGAAGCCATCTAATTGGAGAAGAAAGCATGAGGAATTCATTGCCACCATAAGAGCAGCAAAAGGCCTTGATCAGGCTCTCAAAGAGGGTGGCAAACTTCCTCCTCCTCCTCCGCCTTCTTATGACCCTGGTATGTGGAGGGTTGTTGACACAAATGTTCATGTGGGGAGAGTATAGTAGCATTCAGTTTTTAAGTCGATATGAAATAGTTTTTTATCAAGAAACCTAATGACACATAATACTTAATTCTTCGTTGTCAAATAATGGTGATAATCCAAGAAGCCTGGGTATACAGATGTCACCGTACGGAGCATAAAACACACTGCTTCTCTTCACAGTGGTTTTATTTAAGCATAAGCTTTGTATTAGAATTACAATTATAAAATATTGATCTATAGAAAATCAGTTAATGCTCATTACACATTCATTAGAATTCAAATAGTTTTGTTGCTTGGTTCTTTAGTATCTCCCCTGAAAAGAAAGCTATAATATTTTTAAACTATATAATTAATTCAGAACCTCTGACGTATACCAATTACCCAAATTATGTTTTCAAATAATGTTTTATTACAGTTTGTACTGGGAAGCCAGAAGTTGTATTGCTTATTATTTTCAAAGTAAAAAGATTATAGCAAATCCATATGAGATACTAAGATTGACTTAAAATAGTAGGATTGACATTTTGCTATTGGCTATTAGAACATTCTTAACAGGTTGTTATTTTAATGGATACAGCCAACCACATTGAAATAGAATTGGTGCTCTACATTAGAGTTTACTTCTTAGCAAAGAGGATACTTTTTAGCAAACCTGGATGTGATTATTTTAAACATTTTATTTTAGAGGAGACACTTGCCAGCTATTTTAGTAAAAGGCCGAGTTGTAAGAATTTTAAGTATTGAATATTTAGGTAAGACTACTAATGGGACTAGTTAGCTTTTCTTGTCATAAGCCATAGATAATATGCCAATGAATGGATAAAGTTATATCCCAAGCAATAACAAGAACAAAGGCCTTTATTTTCAAAAACGGGCAATAAGCAGACTGAATTATGCCTACAGGTTATAGCTTGTCTACCCCTAAAGTATTAACGATCCTGTGTGTTTCTGGGATAATCCAACCGGGCTAGCTAGAACGCTTCTTGGTGTACATTTATGTTTCATGAAGTTGAGCTCCGTGCTCCAGAGGCATTTCTGTACATCTTAGCTTCTTAGCAGTACCTTCCATATCCCTGAAAGTAATGAAGGATGCCAGTTTGTCAGGGCAGCCTGAGCTGCAGGAATTCTCTAAGGTTTTGGTCTTGACATACACTTTGTTGTTGGATGTTTTAGACTGTTCCATTAAAAAGTAGGATTTTTTTCCTGAAATTTGAATTATGTCAATGAAGTTTTGAATTTAAACTATGTCTGCCATTTCTTGGAACCTCCCTTTAGAAAATACGCTTCTTGACAGTCTGCTTACCTATTTCTTGATTTTATTTTTAAAAAGACTTTATAATTTAAACTGTACCTCCGTTTATATTTTAATGTGCTTTTACTGTTTAGATACCATCAAGTTTATGTCTATAATGAAAACAGATATTTTTGTTTTCGTTTTCTTTTCTACTAACACTGGTATTTATTTATTTTTTCTTCAGTTTTTCTCAGATTGATTCAAATGTAGGAGAGCCTGACTTCTTGGACTTTTCCTTAAATAGCCCTACCAAATTTAGGTCAGCCAGGTTGGATGCTGTGTGGGATCAGGCTTCATGCTTATCAGATGCCATTATGTATGTTTCTCAGCTTGAATTCCTGACCGTCTTCCTGCCCGTTAGAGGTGTTCTGTCAGTGACTTTGTTCCTCCATTGCTATGCTTTAGATTACATTCAGTGTCCATATTGCCAGAGGAGGTTCAATGAAAATGCAGCCGACAGACATATAAATTTTTGTAAAGAACAAGCAGCACGAATTAGTAACAAGGGCAAATTTTCTACTGATTCCAAAGGAAAACCAGCTTCCCGGCCACAGGTAAATGGACAATTTGAAATATTTTTATAAATTAGTGAGAATGTGCTTCTTTGAGATTCACATTTTTATGTTTATTATCCATAGCACTAAACTATAAATTTTTAATCCGTCAAAATGGATGTGTTATTTCTAAGGGCTCTGGTACAAAATTCAAGTGACAAATTGAGAAAAAAAAGCACAAATTAATGTATTTAAAAGGTATTTCATTCCTTTCCCTAGTGCTGCCTTAATTGCATCTTATAGTTTTTTATTTAGTTTAAAATATATTCCAAATTTTGTTTACTCATAGTTCATTTCAAATGAATTATTTATTTTCAGATCATTAGAGTGTTCTAGATATATTACTGCTTATTTTTCATTCTGTTTTAGTCCAGGAATGTGTTTGCCAAAGTCTTTATGCTATTAAAGTGTGTTGTGTCGTTGTGTGCAGTCTTCCTTTTGTTTGTGTGTGTTGCATCACACCTGGGTTGTGCATCTGTATGCTGAGATGCACAGATGCCAGAAGGAACTGACTGACTCTTACTGACATTTCTTTTCATTCTCTCACCAGATAAAGATGGAAGGAAATTTGATAACAATCTTTAGTTTTGATTATAGTATTTTCTGTTTCTCATGCTAATTTTGACTCTTATATATCACATATTTGGAAATTTTCTTAGATTGTAATAATGTCTACATTTGTAATTCATAATATACAGTGCCCTTTATTGTCCTTTAAAATATCTTTTTATTCCTGGTGATTTTAAGTATATTATATCTGATAAGAAAATAGTCATTTCAACTTACAAATTTTAGTTTTGCTTATGTTTTCTTTCATTTCTTCAGCTTCAAAAGCTTTTGCCATTTTAGAGATTAGGATTTATAGTCTAATTATTTATTTCCCTTTTTTTAATGCCGTTTTGAAAGCATACTGGGTTGGTTGAGTGTTTGAACATATATATGAAATACAGTTATTCTTGGAAATTGTGCTGTCTTTCCTGTTGCTGCCTTCAGTTTTACACAGACACACGTCTATTCTTCCGCTACTTTATCATTCGTGCTAAGTACAAAGGCAAGCTTTGTATCCAGTGCCTTTCTGGTTCTTCGATACCATCCATCTGGAACCATTCCAAGTTTAGTTAGGTGTCAATGTGGCTAACTAAGTTTTATTTAGAAATCTGATCTGCATGCTGGCAGATAGTTCCTACAATCTCGGATGGGCTGACATAGCAGTTTCTTCTCACCTACTCTTAACATTCAGTGCTGTGAAAATGGTTTTCATCTAACTATAAACTTTTTATTTTTGTAGTTTCCTGAGATATTTATGGTTTTTGTAGAAGAATTGGTCTATGCAAACATTTTTGTTAAAAATAAAACTTATTTTGATTTCTATACTAGAATACTTTAATACTTTTATAAACATTTTGCTTGACTGGATTTAAGTATCAGTATTATTAAATTCACTCATAATGCTGCATAACTATCATAACCATCTATCTCTATAGCCTTTTCTTCATGTAAAACAAAGCAAACAAACCCCAGTCATTAGGGATTATGAGCTGTTGAATTACTAGTTTGTATCCCCTAATATCAAAATGATGTTGATTTGTTTTTAATTTTCATTATTTTAGTATAAGCCATCTCCGCTTAAAAAATCCAATCCTCCTGGAAGCACATCATCCGGATCTTCCAGACTGCCACAGCCAAGTACTACTAGCAAAACAAGTGTAGGTAATGCGATTCCATGTGGCCAATCAAACAGACAGACAAAGAAAACCATGTCAGTTGATAAGGATATGCCAAAATAGTCAACTTTACATTATTAGAAAAGTTAGACATGAGAAATTTAACTTAGTCATTATTTCTGGGTAAAATAGAAATAACTCTGAATAGCAACTGCAGCCACATTCGTTCCTTTCTTTATTACTTGAAAGGCCACAATGTTCTCACACATTTTTTTGTATGTGTACTTGAAGCTGTCCTATAAAACAAGTACTAATGGCTTAAAAAGGAAACCACTAAAGTGGGTGTTATTTGTGTGTCAGAGATGGGATAAAAATGAGAACTGGACGCATTCCTTACTAATAGTTTTAAATTCTTTCTTTTGTTGTTATAGGCACTATTACTTATTTATGGCACTAAGGAACTGCTTTCCTTGTTAGAGACTCTATGTGAATTTTCTTCCACACTATTGTTAAAGTCCTGTTGCCTTTTTATTATAAGGTGTGCCTGCGGGTAAAGCGGCTTCAGTTAACAGTCCTTTGGGAAACAAACCTCAGACCTTATCTCCTTCTCATAGAGCAATAGCAGCCCCTCAGGCAGGGTAAGTCCATGCTGCATGTGCTTAGTGCTGTGTGTTGAAATGACAGCAGTGCTTTGTGTTTGTCCTTCCTCTGTTTCTCGGATTCATGTGTTTCTTTTAGAATATTTCTGCTAAAGAGACATTCAGTGATAGTGTTGAAAAATCCAAGCAGACCGGTTTCAGAAAAATATAGTTGGTATTCATCAAGATCCTTAATGTATTTGTGGGGTGTGTGTGTGTGTGTGTGTATGTGTGTGTTTGTTTGGGCGAACAATTTTACTTTGATGTATCTAAGGAAATAACATATAATATTGAGGGTTTAGTAATAACTAATATATTGAGGACTGTCTGAGAGACACTGCTGAATATTTTACATAGGATTTAATTGTCTATTGTAGTCATGGAGGAACTCAGAGAATCAGATTTCTTTAAATGTATATAACTTTTAGGAAATGTCAGGTGCTGAGTGAGATTTCTTTAACCAGAAAACAGTCAAACAGTATTATTATAATGTATAAAAATCACTAAATATATAATTTTGATGGAATAATATGTATAGAGATGTATATAAAGATATTTGGAATCATAAAAATAAGTATATTTTCATAATAATTTTACTATGAGAAAAAGATTTCTGTAGTATGCCTGTATTGTCTGAAGTGTAATATAATGGAAACTAAACGTATTTGTAGACATAATATAGATATAATATTCTGTATATACAGCATATATGGAATTATCAGTAAATTATTATGTACTAATAATTTTAGTCTTCCTATACTGTATCATTCTATATACATGGCTTTTAGTGAAATAGCTTCTACTTTCAACAATGTATTATAATGTTGGAAAACTTAATAAAATTAGGCATTTTATTATCTAAATACTTATTTTCAGAAATTTACTTTCTTCTGTTAATAAATTACAAAACTACAAAGACAATACATAAAACAGAAACAAAGACAGAAGATTTTGTCTTTTTTTTGATACTCAGTTGGTTAAGGATATATTGCTTACATAATTTTCAAGAATAATTTATCTCTGACTCACAGGCACTTACTTTCATGAAGAAAATTTACAGAGGAGTATTTGTCAGTTGTGATTAGCCATCTTTTCCCCTACTCAATTCAGATGGCTTAGGAAATCCAAGATATACAAAGACTTTGACTCTAGGGAGAGGCCTCGTAAGCATGAATACCTGTGCTCAAATCACCAGCACCCATGTGACATCCAGGCATGATACTACAGTAACTGTAATGCTAGCATTCTTCTGGTGCTATGGGGGCAGAACAGCAGGTTCTCTGGAAGCTCACAGACCTGCTAGCCTGGTTTACATAGCAGAAAGCAAGAGACCAGTGCCAGAAAGGTAGAAATGAGGGCTGATTCTTGACACTGCCCTCTTCCCTTCACATGTGCCCCATGGTACAAAAACACCTGCGTTCAGACACACCAATATGTACACAGACACACAAAGTTTAATGGGATGACATGTAGGTCTGTGGTGGGATAGTTGCATGGCATGTTCAAGGCCTTGGGGTCAGTCTCCAGAATCAGCAAAAGAAATAAATGAGCAAAACCACAAAGCTGAAAGAATAAAAACTAACAAAATACTGATAAAGTACAAGGAGTTACATGCCTTTTTCTTATTTATCCTCTGGTGGTTAGTAAACAAAAATACTGATTTCTTTTTTTTCTTCTCTACTGGTCAACTCATTATATAGTAATGCATAGGCACAACAGTTAATTCTACATTACCTTTTTACCATAGCAAAGAGAATTGCTTTTAGTACTCCTTTTAGTGTTTTAGGTATTGCTAACTATAAATTAGAAGGTAATATTTTTCAATACTTCTGTTTGACTGATGATTTTCTTTTTGGTTGGAATAAGTTGTATAGTAAACTTTTAAAGTAGACTGTGCACATGAAGCTGACTGTTAGAATTTTTCAAAAAGCATTTTGGAACTGGGTAGATGGCTCAGTAAAGTATTTGCTATACAGACATGAGGTTTAGAGTTCTGATCCCAAGAAGCCATGTAGCACTGAGTGGGCATAGCAGTCTACCTGTGTCTCCAACCCTGGAAGGTAGTGTCTGAGTTCCCAGATTAAACTGGCTGCAAGGCTAGCTTCACTCAGGCTTGACTGAGAGACCTTGCTTCAATGACTAAGGAACAAGGATGACTCCTGATACCAACTCCAGTCCTGTCCGTATACATACTTGAAGCCACACACATCCAAAAAAAATCAGATCAAAACAAAACCAGAGATTATGTACACATCCATGCAAACACCGTGCACACACATGAGACAGAGGGAACAAGCCCAACAGTGAATGAGGTAGAAAACGAGGCACTTGTGTTCTGCTGGGCTACTAAGTAGATGTACAACTTTGAGTTTGTCTCTCTGACAACTCTGTGACTGTGTTTATAAAGACTTTCATAAGAAGCCTAATCCAGAACCTGATTTATATTATCCCGAAGAGAAAGTAGGTTTTTACTAACAGGCAAAGATTTTGAATATATGCTTTTCCAAGTATTGCACTGCATATAATGCCATGAAATTGAACAGGTCTGATGCCCCATAACATACTAAATTGGCAGTCATATGTGTTCAGATTCTAATTGTCTAGATAGAAGGCCCTTCTTGAACCAGAGTTATTGTTTGCTTCTAGTATAGTTTCAGTATTTCAGTATTAATTGGAGATTACTATTCTCCTATTATGTACTAGAAGCAGTCATCAGCTATCTATGGAATGCCAGCTACCATTTCTGTGTTGGAATCTTTAGAGCAGTGATTCATTTTATTGTGTTCTTTGTTACAGTGTAAACACCATGTTGATTGAATTGAAGGGGAAAAAAGAAACCCTAACTAAATATCTGACGGTTTTATGGAATGATTGATAAAAACTAATGAATGGACAAGTTACAATTTTCAACTATAAGCTTGTTGGCTCATAGAATAGTGGTTCTGTAAAAGACTTTCTTAAAGGTTTCCTGGCAATGACCTTTTTCAGCATTGAGTCAGGATTGAAGACTGGACTAAGGCATTTGGTCAGCCGTAACACTGAAGGTACTGAAAATCATCTGAGCTTGATAAATGTTAGCACTTCATGAGCCTACAGCTGTTTTAAGCATTGTCTATAGCATTTAGCATAGTCCAGGTTTCTCATGTATTATGGTCTTATGCATCATATATTGGGATCATGACATTTTAATATTTGTACTTGAAAAAAGTCTTGTGTTTGATAATTAAGTTCTAGATAACCTGTGGTTATTTCTATAATCTTTTTAAAAACAAAAATTCAAATAGATTTTTTTCATCCTAATTCTAAAAGTTAATTTTATTTAGCCTGGGAAAATTTCAGAAATATGATGCAACACTGAGTTATTAAATTCTGTGACTTTTGAATAAGACTACAGCTGTGTTCTTGCAAGCTCTGCTTTCTTAATGTTTGTCATTTTAAATATATACCAAACATATTATTTTCAATAGCTATAATTTACTTCAGTTACTGTAAAAACATAAACCTGTTTATATTTATCATAGTAGATGGGATAAAATGTCGAGGTGCAGAGTACATGTAGGAACATTAGTGAGTGGGGGTTGTGTGTATGTAAACGTGTGTGTGGTGTGTGTGTGTGTGTGTGTGTGTGTGTGTGTGTAGGCCTGGAGTCAGCGTTGACTGCCTTTACCTCCTCATCGTTTAAAACAGGGTCTGTCATTGGATCTCTAGTTCATAAACTGCTAGCATCGCTAGCCATAGCTGGGAGTCTTCTGACAGCTCCGGCACAGGCACACAGGATTACGCTCAGTTTTGTACATGGTTTCTGGGGATTCAAACTCATGTTCTTCTTCTCTTTCTTGTGCAGCAAACATTTTTCTGATTGAGCCACCATCTCCCTAACCCTGGAGAACATCTTCAAATAAAAAGTTGAATTTGATTATCAATGTTATTGTATTAAATTAGTAAGAAATGTCACTAGATTTTATATGATAAAAACGTGTTCCCTTAATTTTTTTCTTTGACATCTATTTGTTTTGTGTGTGGATGTGTATACCAAGGCATATAGGTGGAAATCCTAGGACAACTTGTGGGCAAAGGTGTTCTTTTTCTCACCATGTGCGTCCTGGGGATTGAACTCAGGTCATTAGGCTTAGCTGAAAGCAAGAAAACTTGCCAACCCAGAAACCTCTTTCTTTTGTAGAATAATGTTCTGGCATATGATTGAAGCTATTATGTTAGGGTGATTTTTTTTTTATTGTGGAGTTGATATACTGAAATAACTATGATGGATAAGGATACACACACACACACACACACACACACACACACACAAATCATCCTAGAGCTTTGAATGTCACAAAATATAACATAGAATACCCTTACTATACAGAGATTCATAACATACAGAGGTCTTATAAAATAACAAATGCTACCTGGTAAATTTTTCCAGTATGATTCCAGAAATCGTCCTTTGATTATTCATCAATCTATGCTGTTTTCTGTAGTTAAAGACTCTTCATTAACAGGGAAGTTTATTTCTCAGTGGACTTATTCTTTATATCAGCAGTAAACAAGGAACTTTTCTTAAGTTGACATTTACTTCAGGTCACAAATAGGTTAAGATTATTACCAAGTATTTCCTAAAGTGGCCATTCAGCTATGAATACTTTGAAAGCTCAAAAGATTGCTGTAGATCATCTTGATAATTAATTGACATTTATAAAATTTAGTTTGTGTATACAACCTAACAATAGGAGACTGTAGCAGAACATATATTTGACTTTAGCCCCAATAACATTTACTAAAATTTGGTCTAGGAAACATTGAATTATGTTTTATCTAAAATAGACTCATTTTTATAGGCAGTATATAAACTTCTATGTAGGGGTTTATATTTTCTGTATTATAGTGGGTTGAATGTAACTCATATGTCTGGCAGGACTCGTCCCTGGGGCCTCCCTCTCAAGTAGATTTCACAGTGTGAGCGTCCTCCCAGCTCTCCTGTCTGTGTAGTACAGGAGACAGCCATCCTGGATTGTTATCTCATCCTATGTATCACGTCTTGTTCACATGTAGGAGTTACATATTTGTTACCATAATTAAACAGTCTGTTTTTAGTTAAAGTATACTTAAAGTTCATTTGTGTTGTGTGTGGTGCTGAGGATTAAATCCAGAGCTGTTTCTCTGAGACAGATTTTATTCTTTATCCATAAAACACGGATACCTTTTAAAGGTAGTGTTTTTGACAGTACTGCTTTAATAATTATTTAACACTTAACAATTGAAAGAAAAATTTAACTAATTAGAATTTCAAGTCATTGGATTCTCTAATCTTTTATAAATTAAAGTGAAATTTTAATCTCAAAGGCTTGTAGAAATTATGTTTAAAACATTGACTGAAGGCTGTTTGTAATGTACACACCACTACATATATACTGTGAGCACCAATTTTGACTACATAGACAAAGAATATCAAATGACTGTAGCATTCCTCCTGAGAGACCCATACGTTCTGGAATGATAATCCGATTCTTTTTGGATACTAACCTCTTTAAGAACTCCACTCTTTTGTTTGCTACTGTGTTTTCTCAGATTTGCAGTGTCTGAGTAATTTAATGAGAAAAACATAAAAACACAATTGGATGAGCAGATATCTTTTTAAAAGAATATATGTGTGCATAATATGTATATGTATAATATATAGATGTGTGTATATAATGTATGTATATAGTATGTATAGATGTGTGTGTGTGTGCGTATACATACATATCTTTGAGACTGGATCACTGTGTAGTTTTGTTATATCTTAGAACTCACTATGTATACTAGACAGGGCTAAAATTTTCAGTGGTGGGATTAAAGGCATGCACTACCACACCTAGCTCAAGAATATATTTTTAATGCCCCAGATAGCCTGATTCTTACCAGCCATTTGAGATAGTTTTTCTAATTTGTTAATTTTCCTATTCTCTCTTATAAATTGATATTGGTTGTTGATGGTATATGGTTGGACTATATGATTGGCTAATGTAAAACAATGACTTCTCCAGCAAACCCGCAGTTAGCACCAACAGCCGCTAGATGGAGATATGGCATACGTTGTGTTTAAAAAGGTTTCACAATGGTGTCGTTAGTTAATGTCTTTCCTGTGACATTAAGAATGATCATGTCTTTTAAAGTATAGATCATGGTTTTCCTTTTTGCTACATATATTTCAGAAATAAACTCATCCCTTATTTGAGGGTGAGATAAGGTAAATATATAAGCACTCCATATTCACTTACTATATTTTTTAAATGCAAGGGAAATCATAAAGTAAAATAATAGAGAAGAGAGGTTCTTCTAGATCAGGGAACATGAATATTATTTTATTTGTGAATAAAAGATTGAAGGTTCTTTTAACTTCATACAAACCATACTTTCCTGACTTATTCCCTACTCAGGATAAATATGGCATTGAATCTGCATAGAAATTGGCAGAGTGGCTGGATAGCCTAAGGATGGCACTATGTGAACTCCGATCTGTGACAGGGGTTTTGTCTTGACAGGTTATTAAGGGAAGAGGGTGAATTTCTAGTGAACCAGAATGTCTTTTTAAAAAGAAAAATAATCTTTATGTCTACATAATTCTTTAGAAGCAAGCAACAGTAGCAGTCTCCTTATGGGTACACCTTTATATATTTTGATAGTAAGATGGACAAGTTAGGCCCTCCACTTCGAACTGGAAGACATGTGCAAAGGTTGTATGGCAGTGATACAAAGTCAAACAGTGCCTTCAAAAGACATGAGCTAGTACCCATTTGCAAGTAAGTACTTATGATGCAGTTTGGTTGGCCTTTATCAGATAGTTCTTACAGGACCTATATTATAGAATGCTGTAATTTTCTTGGCTTTTATGTAAAAGTAACCTTCCCTTTATCATTTTAAGTTGGTTTAGTAATAAATGGCCTTCAAGTGTATAAAATATTTTTATTATTATTGACTTTCTATTAAAAATTAAACTCGATCATGTTTTAATTGTGGCAGCACCTTCAACAGTTTTTATGAATGTAAAGATGTTTAGGAGCCTTATAAAGAAACGTGGAGGCCGAGTTACATAGTGAAGCAGAAGATAAGCTATAACTAGAAGAAGGTTCTTTAGGGTCTATAAACTTGATGTGATGATTCAGAAGAGCTGTGATGCTACCAGATACACACATGCATCTCTTCTGGCCTTCTGGCCAAGAAAACTGGCAGTTGGAGTCATTCTTGAAACTCCTTGTAGCATGAGATTTCAGGATACACAGATTTGGGCTTATAGTATCTATCAATTTTAGACATCATTTTTCAGTGATGAAATTGGGATGTAACAAATGAATATCTTTTTAAAATTTCAAACTTATTATTAACAAAGTTAACAGTGCATCCTGCTTATTATTCATCATGAAATATGATAAATTCAACTAAGCATGCAATTAAACAGTTACAGGGAAAGACTGTAACCTAGCATGGCTGCTTCTGTGTAGTTAGTGGTCATTTGTGGAAGGAAACATTGGTTCTGAACTTTGAGTTGATGTCAGGGGAAATTGTCTATGAAAAAGTTGAAGTGTAATTTCATAACTAATCCACTGTATTATTTTTTGAGCCATATCACATAAAATTCACATATATATGTAGTGTAAATACTTAACTAGGTTGAGACTGGGAAGAAAAATGTTTTGAGTATTTGAGCAACATGTTAAGAATTGATCAGCAGGTAGTTCTTTCTCATTGTTTCAGAATGGCTCTTACAGTCAGAGTTCATGTCTTAGAGGATATTAGGAAAAATAGGCATATAGTATAATAGATATTTAGGCTGATAATCTGATATTCTTTCATTTCAGTCATTTAAGTTTGATACATTTAAAAATATATTTTTATGTCTGACAATACTTGTAGAGATTTTGAAAAGAAAAGGAAAAAATGTGCATTCCCTATCTGTATGCCAACTTCTTGATGATTTTTTTAATATATAGATATTAATTTAGAAAGGTATGGCATGATTCCACTTCTACATTACAAAAATAGACTAGAATAAACCTCATATAGACTTGGGAACCATTTGAAGAAGTCTTAGGTATCTCATAAGTGCACCTAGGTGCTTCCTTTTTGCTGAAGAAGTGATTGCTCAGAATAACTGAGCTGTAGCATTGTGTGTTGAATGTGGTGTTCATAGTGTTATGTAAGTTCAAATACTAATCTGGCCACATAATAGCATTACAGATTACACAGTCTCTAAACACAGGTTCTCCAAGCTGGACATGTGGTACAGTATATTTATACAATATCTCAGAAACAAATAAATTGTCAGCATGGAAGGAGACAGCATCGGTATAGTTAGTACAGTAAGTATTTGAAGGATAGCTACTAGTTCTATATATTTTGAAAGTAGTTATTTGACATTTAGGGTGCTTCCAAGTTTACCACGTAAATAGAGTAGAAGAATTTCACCCAAAGATTGGGAACCTTATAAGAATTTGTAAAGTTTTTTTTCTTGTTTTTTGCTTGTTTGCAAATGAACTTAGTCCTAAAAGAAGAGGCGGGGACTTATGCCATACTGATTTTCCAAGTCTTGAATCTGAAGCATACGTGGAGTCACCTTGGTTAAGTTACTCAAGGGCTTTCTGCCTCAATTGTTTCAGCTAGCATGAAGTTATTTATTAAAACTGAATAACTTACTTAATACACAAATGTATTTAGGGTATAGTAGTAGCTACTGAAAGTTAACATGTAGAGTAGCAGTAACAATAGTGTAATCAACATGCTACATTTTAATATGAATTTATATCTTAAAACCTTTATGTAATGTTGATGATCAGTTTACCAATGAGGAAACAAGTTATTATTATTGCTATTACAAAGCTAATTTTAATCTAAATTTATGTAAATTCCATAGCTTTTCATGGTAATGTTGTATCATAATTTAGATGTATATGTTTCTTTGATTCCTAAAGTTTCAAAATGTGATTTGAAAATAATAAGTCTCCCTTATATCAGATATTTCAGTCTGTGCAGGTGGTGAAATTAAATCGTTATTTTTTAGTCATCGTAAGAACTTTCAAAAAATGAATATTATTTCAGCTAGCAAGCGAATTTTCTTATTTTAAGTATATCCTATATTCTTTGCGTTTGCAATAATACTTGTGTAACATTTACTTTGGAGTTGTCTGTCAACAGTAGTAGTGTCCATGTTGAGAGCAGTTACAAATGAGGCTTTGTAAGGAGGCTTTAGAAAGAAGCTACTAGGCATAAGTAATGCTTTGGTCTGTGTGATACTTTATAAAGCTGATGCTATGCAGTTACCATTACTAGTCACTAATTCTACTTGTTTTCAGATTAAAAATACTTACTTGGAAGTTATTCTGTTGAACTTCTCTACAGCCTGTGTTTTTCTATCTACTCATTTAGAAAGATAAGTCTAGACACATTAGCTTCAGCGCTTCTTATCACCCATCCTTTCCTCTTGCAGAGCTAACACCAAGTCTCGAAATACCACACCTCCTAGTTTGGCAAGAAATTCTGTGCCAGGCGGGCTTATCAACAAAAGAAAGACTTTTACTGAGAGCTATGCAGCCAGGTATGTTTAGCTCTGCTAACCTAATAGTTAGAAATGAAAAATAGACAATGGACTATTTATACTTAGATCTTTTTTCTTTATTATAGAATTCAATATGTCTTTCAAATAGAATAGAAAATGTTGAGACATGAATACTGTTTTCTTACACTTTAAATTGTAAATATTCAAATATTTCTTGTTCAGTTTTACTAGATTTGTTTATCTTTATCTTTTTTTTCTGGCATGTTTAAATATCAAACATAGTATTAACTGTGCAAATGAAGCTTATGAATATCACTATTGTAATAGTCCACATTTTGGCATTGAAGTCTATCCTGAAAAAACTTTATGTGTGAACACACACACACACACACACACACACACCCGTGAGAAACATTAATATTATTTTTGAATGAAAGGATAAAGAGAAAAGTGGAAAAATGAGAATTAAAAGATAAGTTCAAAGTAGCAAGATTGTCCATAAGAGACATGAGACCTGGGCAAGTATGAGCCGTGAGCTGCAAACTGGAGTTTAAAATGTGTAGTACAGAGTGAGCAATGGCTGCTGGGATATTGTTCTTGATGTCAATAAAGCAGAAAGGTACACTTTCTCTGAAAAAGTCTACTTAGTCTGTAGGTCTTAAAAATTGTCTCAGGGAACTCAATGATCAAGATCCTGGGTAACATAATGAATAACTTAAGTAATATCCTGTCTATAAATACAGGATAACTTCATGGTGTGTTTCACTGCAGACCAAGGACTTGATACCCTATGATCTACTACAAACTTGTGGTGTGTGTATTCTAAGTGTGTGTGTAGTAGCTGCTTTGTCTCAAGGGTGTAGCATTCCAGGTTGTTGAGAATTCTGATGTAAGCCAGGCATAGGTTCAAACTTCAAGCTTGTCCTCTCTTAGCTGCCTGTCAGTATTACCTTGGATCTTCCTAAAACTGAAGCGATAGTGAGATTTTGAGATCTTTGGGCATCTGTGCATTTGCCGTATAAATGTTTGCATAACTAATAATAATAATATTTGTAAACAGCAGTGAGACATGAATTACTGTGCTCTCAGCTAGATTATTGAATAAATGCTGTTAGTATCTGTTGGGCTTTTGTTGCATACATATCAAATACCACATATGAGCCTGTTTTTTAGAGGCCGAATGTGAAATGTGGTTTTACTATCATACATAAACAGTTTTACACATGTATATCTCTGTGTATTTTCAATCAAGGTTCTGAGTGAGATTAACATTCTCTTAAATATGTGTGTACCATATAGTACCTGTACTATAAAATGTAATATGCAGAGAAGTCATCAAAAGAGAAAAAAAATGCTAACCAGCAGGAGCAGAAATTTCACACTAGGAAATGCAGTTTTTCTTAAATGATTGCTAGCTCACAAGAAGCAAGACCATGCTTGTTGACTTCTTAACACTCTTACATCTCAGATTGAAATAATTATGATTGTAACAGTCCAAGGTAGGTGAGATTCTTATTTTTTCTAAGAAAAATAGCAGATTTACAGTCTCAAAATTGTTCTTGGAGAAACATCCACACATGTGGCATGAAAGTGTAAATCTGTTACTATATATGTATCTATATACTGAAAAGACCAATTATTAAGTAAATAACAATATTTGATATATTTTTGATTAGAGATTGGTATATTAGAACTTATTACAATCTTTTTCTCAGCAACAAACAGGAAATACAAAGTTTTATAAAAAAATTCCACTTGAATATACAAATTTTATACATGGGCGTCAGTTTAAAGACCACTGAAACTTTTTGACATAAAATTTAAAACTCTCAATGATAATGCAGAATATATAAGTAGATATAATATGCACTTTTCATAAAATAGAATATTTAAACCAAAAATTCATTTTCTAAACTTTTCTGTACAAATCACTAAATTAATATACAATTTTAATAGAGCTTTCAAATGCTTCATGACTTTTGATTAATCATTTGAAAATACATGTGAAGAACAAAGGTGTAAAGGTAAACAGGACAAGGCAAAAACAGTGTTGTGAATGCTGCACGAAGTTAGGGTAGTTGAGACAGTTTGATATTAATTCTTGGATAAATAACTAGAATGAACCGATTAGGGCAAAGGACTTAGTCACACAGATGACTAGAACTCTGCTGCACTTCAGAACGCGCCATGCAGATATTCAGAGTATTCTGAAACAGACTTAGACGTATGGGAAAATGAGTTAGGGTGCTGTGCATGTAGACCCGTGAGTGGACCCTTGCTGTTGATGTGTGTGCATGCACACACACACACACACGCACACATGCACGCACACACCAATAAATGAGTTACTAGTAAACTAAATGCCTCAAAATTTAAAAGAAAGCCATTAAGGTTTTAGGAAACCAGGGTGTTGTTATCTGAGATAGGAAGATATTTCCTGAATAGTTTACTAAATGCCGACTGAAAGCAAAAGATATATTGTTCAGACTAAACGTGGATAAAAAGTAATGCTGCCAAAGCCCGAGACACATGGAAATCATATTGGGGAGGTTACCATATACAGCCAGTTGTGTCCAAGTCTTTGACATTTGACACTTCATTGTCATGTGCAAAGTTCATTTTTGAGAACTGTGCTTACCAAAAACCATGAAAAGAAAAATCTTACAATATTTTAATGACCTAGTGATTTTGTGTTGAGTCTTCTTTATGACTATCTTTGGCCACATGAGGCCAATGGACAGTGGGTTGGACTTGCCTGACTGACACTCGTATGTAGGGTTTTCTCCAAATACAAAGTGAGGGTGAACTCATATAATTAATATCTCTGGGGTTTGCTGGGAGTGAAGACAGGAAGGAACAGCAAGCATATTGTCAGTAGAAGAAATACCAGAGCAAGAGAAATGTGAAGAAAAAATGTAGGAATATGTATATATTAAATCTCTGTGAGTAATCACTTTATACTTACTGCATGAACAAAAGAAAAATTTTTCACACAAAACATGATTAAAAAACATACAAACTTCACGTGCTCTCAGTTAGCGCATACATTGATTAACACTTATGTACAGAATTTAGTAATGCCTAGTAAAGTTTTAATACTTGTACGAAATACTTACTAATGAGTGATCTTGTTGAGTATTTAAATGACCTTTTATATTTTGAATTAATATATATTTTACTGGCAGAAAGCTGGTTTAATTTTTCTGTTATTCGCTCTTGATTTATTTAATATTATGTCTGTAGTTTGCAAGAGTTACATCAAGTTGTAACTTACTCTCAACATCTAACAGTTTGTCTCCATTCAGAGAACGTTGATGATAATCCAAACTCTTCCTCCTGGGAGTACAATAGAGAGAGAGTACGGAGCATGCTCGCCTCTGCCTCTCGGCAGTTTTCTCAGGGGAAACCACTTGAAGTCAATTATTTTTCAGCTGAGAACTTTGTTTTGATTTGTTTTGTTTTGTTGAGACAAGGTCTTATCTATAGCTCAGTTTTCCAGGAACTCCATTTGTAGCTGAAGGTGCCTTTGCCCTTGCCTCCCGATGGTAGAGTTACAGAGGCTAAGCCACCGTGCCTGGCCCCCAGGCATGCTGTTAACTTGAACTAGAGGAATATTAACATTGGCACTACGATTTTAGTTTCTGCATATTAATTACTCCATGTTCTGTACTGGGTCATGGTAATAATTACTGACATGAGTGAAATTGATTTCTATACTTCTTTCTCTACTTCTGTAGGCCAGATGGAGACTATACATCTTCAGTTAATGGTGGAAACCTTAAAGGCATCGAGGGAAATTCATCAGGACATTTACCAAAATTCTGCCATGAGTGTGGGACAAAGTACCCTGTGGAGTGGGCAAAGTTCTGCTGTGAATGTGGCATTCGGAGAATGATTCTGTGAACAGAGTCAAATGCTAAGAGTCCAGATTCAGAATTTAATGACTATTGCTGCTTTGACACCCATGGCACTTCTTATAGTTAAGTTGTGCTAAAGCTATTTATAGTACCATTTCCCTTAGTCTTTGAAAATAATCCTTTGGCTGTATAATGTGTTTATGTGTGTGTGTGTGTGTGTGTGTATGTGTGTGTGTGTATACATACATACACATACATATGTATATATATTCTGTATATAATAAATTTCATTCCTTCAGCCTGTGTGATTCAAGGAAATACTTAAGTTGTTATGACATCACTGTCTTAGGTAGTGCTCTTTGGCTGTTTAAATACATTAGTATACTTGCACAAGCACCCCACTGTAGTGATGAGCCCTGCAAGCGTTAGGATAATCACACTGCTGAACAAGAAACCAGAAGAGGTGCTGTCATTGGTGCCTGTCATGAATAGTATCAGAGGAGAATGAGATATTGGAGAATGTTACTGAAGAGAATGTTATTTATTCGTTATCAATGGGGGTGAGGTTATTTTCCTAGCTGAGCTCTTCAGCAACTAGTGTTAAATTCCTTAAATAAATGATGAAAAGGAAAACCTGGTCCACATTGCCAGTCACTTCATGGATTATCAGTTACACAACCTAATTAAAAATTTAAACATATATCCTCCTTCTGGGAACATGTGACTATGCAATCTCCTTTTCAGAAATGTATCTTACTCTGCTTATAACTGAATGGCTGATTTACCTCCATCTTAGTTGCCCACATTTTCTTTTCACTTCCAATTGTGTTCTGAGATTTTTATATTTCTTTCTTTTGGCATAGCTCCTGTAAAGAGTAGCTTTAGTAGTCTTTGCAGTATTCAACATTTTATAATATCTTTATTTCTGTGTGTGTTTATAAGAAATTAATCCATTTTAAAACAGTTCAGCTCACCCAATAAATAATAATTGTGGTTACCATTAATTCTGAGCATGCACACAAAGCTGATTTTTAGTTCTCGTGGTTCATATTGTTACAAGTACATTGAATGAATATCTCCTTTTTACTATTCATGTTTTCTTTAGTGCTTAATGTTTAGGCAATATACATATTACAGTGAAGGTGTATTGAAATGTTCTACATAGCTGGCTTACATAAGCCTAGCTAAAATACATATTTTCCCTTCCACTGACTGACATAGGTCTTGCTCATTCACACCTTCAGTGCACCAGTACTTACTGGCCCGTTGCTCTGGCAGAGTGTGTCCCACAGTCCTGTAGTAATTACGATACACAAGCGCCAGTAGTGTTGTGTGTTGATGCATTTCCTTCTTATCTGTTGTTTACGATTCACGATGAATATAGAAATCCATTGCCTAGACTTTCATTTCTGAACTTTATTTACTTCTTGCATTCTGTTTTATTTTCCTTTGGGAGGGGAATTTAAACTTGTGGTAATGAGTCATACTTTTGTTCACCTCGTGCTTTCTTTCTTCTTAGATTATTTCCCTTGTTTATTCTATTTGGTCATCTTGATAAACACATTCAAAACTGGTCAGCTTCAGTAAGCAGTAGCAGGCCGAAAAGACTAATCTAAGAAGACACTTTAGATTTTCGTCTTATTAATTCCTCTTTTTTCCTTCAATTGGTTTCAGATATCTGAACTTTTAGTTCATGTCTGTTTTTATCTAGGAATGAGCACTGTTTCCTCCTGTTGCATTTTTAACTCTATAGTCCTTGATGCTACTTAAGGAGTGGCTGGATACGTTGGATTTAAGGAGTGGCTGGATACGT